CTGAGAACCCTGGGTGACTTTGAGGCCACCTAACACCGTGGTATTGCCTCACAATGCCACAGTACATTTGCTGCATTGTGCAAACTTCTCTCTGTTCCGGCTACTGCGTAATTTACAAATTGCCTTTACATTTTGATTCTCCCTCATATTTATAAAATGATCATCACAATATCAAAAGTGTGCTGTGCAATCTGTGCAAAAATATCAGCCATGCAAAATATGAGATATATAGATCTAGATGTCTCTATATATTCGTTTTTAATTATTTCTAGTGCAATGAATATATCATACAACTGAATTTATAGTGTCCCAAATATAAATCCTTATCTGTGTTCACGTGTTTATTTCCAATAAAAACAAACCACTGCTTTTTTTCCCCACAGTGTCTCTTTATCAACAAATTCTTCCCAACACCTTCAGATTAGCTTGACTATTGTATTCTGTCTACCTGTGTGCACTCCACCCTCAATTAGAAGGCCGCTCTCCTTTCAAGATAGACCTTATTTAATTAAAAGGTCAAAACACGCTTTGTCTTTAAAACCTCTTGATTGTATCCGTGTATACACTTTCCTCCTTCTACTCCTCCATAATGCAGTAGCTCAAATAAACACATCTACATACACATACATATGCGTCGTTAACTGCCAAAAAATGTACCATTCTGATCAGCCATTCTAACGAGTCAGAAACCTCTGCCACACTCCGCAGCCAGAAAGGATCACTTTCTATTGTTTTTTTCTTTCAGCCTTACAACTTCCTGGGTCAACTCTCTTCTCATTGAACATACAGTAGGTTATCATGCCAATTCACTGTGCAGTGAGGGATCTGGAGGCAGAGCGGTGTCACAGCTATATTACTGAAACTGAAAACAGGCAGGTCACATGCAAGGCTATGCAGCAAAGGTGTGTGAATGAATATGTCAAGGTTCTTGTTCCACTCCTTACTGGAAATCGCAGATGATAGGGAGGGTGACTGCAGATGGCGCCGCTGTATGCATAGAATAATTGTAAAGAATATCACCAACACTCCGAAGATCCTTATAGAATCACCAAATGTTCATTTTATTGAACAATTTGTCAAATGTTCAATATAATGAACATTTGGTGATTCTATAAAGATCTTGGGAGTGCTGGTGATATTCTTTACAATCAAAAGGTGTGTAAATGACACGAAAGGCAGAATAAGAAATCTTTTGGCAGGTAAGACTGTTTGTATACATGCCTGCTCATCCATATTTTAATATTGTATTAAATATATACATTTTTAGATTAATAGAAGCTTTGCATTTGACTCAGCATTGTTTTTAATGAGTTAGCGGATTCATAGACATGCGTTGCGAGAAGGAGCAGTGAAGCAGAACCATTGAGTAACAATGCAAAGCAGGAAGAAGAGATGGTGTATGTAAAATGAGAAAACATGACTGCTTCCATGAACGTATAGCGATTACAGGCTGTACATAGAAACACGGCTTAAATAAATGACTGAAATTAATAAGATTTAAAGAGGAACTTTACGCATATCTTTGAAATGACAACAAAAGACACCTTTAGAAATGTTTAGTAATGACAAATCTATAAACAGATACTTTTAGATAATTGCCGGCTTTGTATACAATGAAACTGTCACAGGTCGGCTCAGTAGATCGAGAAGTGAGCGAACACATACCGACGTTCGCTCACTTCTCGATCTTGTCACGGCAGAGAGCCGTGACAGGGGAGGGACCGGATTCCCCCCTCCGATCCTCCAGCGCTGACTGGCAGAACGGACGGGGGAGGGGGCGGGTAAAGCTGGCTCTGCCTCTAGGTAGGCAGAGCCAGCTGTCACTCACGCAGCTGGGCGGATAGAGACATAATTGTTGGGATCCGTTCCAGGTGCGGCGTCTCAGTATACCGCAAGCTACATACTGAGCTACATACTGAGCAGTATACATACTATACTGAGCTTAGGGTGACGGGAGGACGCTAGTTTGTGTCCTCCCGTTACCCTTAGGAGAACTATGGGGGAAAGCCCTAACACCATAGTTCTCCTTTAATTGTCTTTTCCTCCCCATTCTTCTCACAGTGGGCATTTTTCCTAAGGGCAGATTAATATATCTCCCTTTACTTCCTGGAACTCTGGCACATGTGACTAGGACATGTGACCATGCACATCATCTCAGGGGAGGAAAATGCCTTTCACTGAGATCTCATGAGATTAAAGATGCAATTTCCAAGCAAAGCATTGCTGATGTAACTTTCCCACGATGCAATACTTGGGCACAGGCTGCATCACTAATGCCCAAAAGGACCAGGAGACCAGGAAGTGGAAGAACAATAATATGTTTGCTTAACTAATGAATGTAAGATGATTTCATATCGGCATGAAGAGCTGCATGCTGAGGTAAATTTTAATGAAAGGGAAAGGGGGGGTCCTCTTTAAACATCGAGCTGATCTCTGCTACGTTTATCTAAAAAAAAATACACTCACTGGCCACTTTATTAGGTATACCTGTTCAATTGCTTGGTAACAAACTGCTAATCAGCCAACCACATGGCAGCAACTCAATGCATTTAGGCATCTAGGACGTGGTCAAACAACTTGCTGAAGTTCAAACCGAGCATCAGAATGGGGAAGAAAGGTGATTTAAGTGACTTTGAACATGGCATGATTGTTGGTGCCAGAGGGGCTGTTCTGAGTATTTCAAAAACTGCTGATCTTCTGGGATTTTCACACACAACCATCTCTCTGGTTTACAGGGAATGGTTCAAAAAAGAGAAAATGTCCAATGAGTGCCAGTTGTGTGGACGAAAATGCCTTGTTGATCTCAGAGGAGAATGGGCAGACTGGTTCGATAGATGATAAGTAACTAACCACTCGTTACATCCGTGGTATGCAGAATACCATCTCTGAAGGCACAACCTTGAAGCAGATGGGCTACAGGAGCAGAACACCACACTGGGTGCCACTCCTGTCAGCTAAGAACAGGAAACGGAGGCTACAATTTGCACAGGCTCATCAAAATTGGACAATAGAAGATCGGAAAAACGCTGCCTGGTCTGAGGAGTCTCGATTTCAGCTACGACATTCAGATGGTCGGGTCAGAATTTGGTGTAAACAACATGAAAGCATGGATCCATCCTGCCTTGTATCAACGGTTCAGGCTGGTGGTGGTGAAATGGTGTGGGGGATATTTTCTTGGCACACTTTGGGCCAGTCATGCTATCATGTTAATATTAGGGTTGGTAATGATTAAAATTTTCCTGTTCGATTAATCGAAATTTTTTTTAATCGATTAATCGACTCATTTCGATTAATTATAACGCACATACAGATCCAACTACTTTTAGCTGATCAGCTTGCATTGCAACTCTGCATTAGTCAGTGGTAAATGTGGTATACACTATATACAATCACCGAACACTAGTTAGGTTCCACAATCCATGACTTAACTTCACACAAATACGTTTTAAATTCAAACTGTAGCACTGACGCAGCCCTGGTTAAAGTAGGGTTCAGTGGGGTCTCACTAGTCCTGGTTAAACCCCACAGAGCCCTGGTGAGACCCTACCAAGCTCTGCTTTAACCAGGGCTCTGTAGGGTCTCACCGGGGCTCTGTAGGGTCTCACCATCCTGGTTAGACCCCTCAGAGCCCTGGTGAGATCCCACACTGTCCTGGTTAAACCCGGGCTCTGTAGGGTCTCACCAGCACCAGGGCTCCGTAGGGTCTCACCAGGGCTCTATGGGGTCCAACCATGGCTATGTGCGATTTCACCAGTCTGGTGAGACCCCTCAGGGCCCTGGTGAGACCCCTCAGGGCCCTGGTGAGACGCCAAATAGCCCTGGTGAGACCCCACAGAGCCCTGTTTAAACCAGGGCTCTGTGGGGTCTCACCAGAGCTTTGAGGGGGCCTCACCAGGGTAGCAGGGCTCTGTGGGGTCTAACCAGCCTTGTTAGACCCACAGAGCCCTGGCAAGACCCCACAGAGCCCTGGCAAGATCCCACAGAGCCCTGGTCTCACCAGGGCTCCGTGGGGTCTCACCATGACTTTGTGGGGGTCTCACCATGGCTCTGAGGGGGTCTCACCAGGGCTCCATGGGGGTCTCACCATGGCTTTGTGGGGTCTCACCGGGGCTCTGAGGGGGTCTCACCAGGGTAGCAGATTTCTAACAGGCTAGCAGATCATTGATTTTACTGTTTTACATGATATTTATTTTTGCTGCCTTGTACAGACATGCGATGACTCACCGGCCCAAGAGTGAGGAGGAGACTCAACAGCCCAAGTGATTCCGTCAGGTAACGAAGGGAAGGGGGAGGAGTCTATGTCCGTGACGTCACCGGACTCCTCCCTCCTTCCCTTCGTTACCCATCACGGACAACTACATCACCCGACTCCTCCCCCCTTCCCTAGCCGACAGAGCCACTTGGGGAAGGGGGGAGGAGTCCGGTGACGTCGATGTCCGTGACGTCACCGGATCTCCGACGGAAGACCCGGAAGCCGGCGGAGAGGTGAGTAACTTTGATCGATCAAAATAATTTTGATTGATCAAAGAAATTAACGATTAATCGACGGATTAATCGTTAATTTCCGCACCCCTAGTTAATATGGACCAAAATCTCTGAGGAATGTTTCCAACACCTTGTTGAATCTATGCCACAAAGAATTAAGGCAGTTCTGAAGGAAAAAGGGGGTCCAACCCGGTACTAGCAAGGTGTACCTAATAAAGTGGCTGGTGAGTGCATACAAGACTATATCTGTAAAAAATAAATCAAGACAACTGGACTTTCTGTATTATTCTTGAAGACATTTCACTGGTCATCCAACCAGCTTTCTCAATTCTGAATTTAGGTTTACATATATACCATGACCTGGATAAATGAGAACCTTCACAGACATATACATGACTATATATTAATTTCTTAAGTTCCTTATGTTCACCTTACAACATATCAACTGCATGTTCAAATGGAATACATCAAATGAGCTTGCAGTGTCCCTATATTGCATAGACACAGAAACTTACGAATAGATTGTGCCGTAAACATGAGTCTTCAGATCTTCTTCTTCTATGGAAAATTTAAACCATTTGGTGGCAGGGCCGCTTCTTTGATAGGAGTTATTGATATCCCAATACAACTCAATGCTGTGGTGATTTACCTTCCCCACTACAGGAGGATCGGGGCGTGGAGTAGCAACCTTGCCTGGAAAAAAAGAAATATGCAGTAATGCAGAACCGAAATGGTTTAATGGAATGTACATGGAATTGTCAGATATAGACAAGAGAAATGGGAATTGTAAATGTTTCGTAATTAGTTTGGTTATCCTTACATAATGTCGGGTCTTGCATTTGTCTGATATAATTAAAAAGTGTATATTGATTTATATAGGTTTAGCTCAAGAGCATAAATTAGCATTTATAAGCCTCTGACAGCTAATTACATTAGAGATCATGAAGTTGTACTTGAGCGGTGATTCAAGCCCACTGCACAGGAAGAATACCAAGTGCAGCGAGAGATGACTTACCAAGCAAGGCCAATTTACCAGTGTTATTCTATCTACAGGAGAACAAACCCACCGAGCTGCAATGTAACCAGCACCAAGGTGAGAAAAGATATTAATAACTGCTTTTATGAAAGTGCAAGTCAAGGAAACTCTTCACTAGATATTTACATTCAGGACTAAATTTTTTACACCTTGCGACCAGACCAATTTTTTTATATTCTGGTGATAAGTATTGAATTGACTATAACTTTTGACTTTGCTTATGAGTGGAGTAAGCTGGGTGAAAGCAAGCAAGTCTTTCTTTCCAGAATACTGTCTTCACCACTACCCGGCCCCCACCATGCTGGCCAATGTTTACATTCACTTTTCCACCAGATGTCTATGTTGTAGTGGGGAGCGGGTACGCACTGCAACCCATGTCTATCTATGGACACAATAGATTGGAAGAGGGTGGAGAACCCATACATGTTTTGTTTTTTTAAACAAAAGTAAACTTTACCTGACTTACAACTGTCACTTGCCAGGGTTTCTACCGGGGTTTAGTGCGAAGAGGAATTGGACCTAATCTCAATTTGGTAAGAAGCTAATGCCTTGTGCGCTACCATGCCCTAAGATCCAGGGTCCTCCCCATGCACAAAGTAACTAAGACGAAAAGAAATCCAGCAAAGATCACAAGCTGCCTGGACTTCAACATGGTTAGGACTTGATCACTAAAAATGGTAACCCTTAAAAAGGAAGATCTTGCACTGAGGAAGGGGTTGGTTACCCCGAATGCATTGGTACGCCCCGCCCCCACCACTATACAGCGTTCTTGGACCATCAGAGTATGTGGAAGAAAAATAATAAAATAAACTGAAAAAAATTGAATTAACCACTCAAATCTGGCCCCCTCTACATCACCCCCGATAACCACCCCCCCCCCCCC